ATTTATTTTCCTTATTTATTGCAAGAAATAATGATTTAGATTTATTTACTTATGTAATTAGATGATATTGTTTATCTTCATTTACTAGATTATCTCAATGCAATTCAACATACTACTTTACTTTACAAAGCAATCCTCCCGACCCGACAACGCCATGAAATCTTTTCTAGTAATATATTATATAAATATCATGTTACAACAGTATACTTTGACACTTTTGAAATTTTTACACCAAATTTTCGACAGTATACTCTACCTCTTTTGAAATTGTGCCACCAATTATGTCAATTGCCGTTTCGTCCCTCGCCGCCCTTGTCATCCAATCACCGGCTCCTTCATCCAATCACCGACTCCTTCCACCGCCCTCTATTGCTTTCATCTACCTTTGCTTCCCCGAAAAGTCTCTGCTCTCGATTTCTATAATTCTATCTCACTCTTTTACTTCTCTGTAAATCGATTTGAAACAACGCGGTTCCAGATCTTGGACGCAAGGTCAGAACAGCCTACCATCAACATTGATTTTTCTGTATGTTCTCTTTCTTCTATCCTCTTTGTCTTCCTGTTTTTTCTTCTGTACAGAAAGCAGAAAAAGGTCATCAACGCTTGACCAGACCTGAAGTCACTTCGATTTATTGGATTTAACACACCATAAAACTTGTGAAATTACGTTGTTACTCATAAAGAAGTGGAGTTTGTTTCTCATTCATCGGCCACTTGACTCTTCTTTAATCAGATTTACTTTGAACTTTTATGTGTCAACTTACAAGTTACAAAATTACTTATATACCATTACTGTTTTATGGAAATCATTGTCAAATGACTTTTGTTTGACTTGAGTAGACCAACATCTGTTTCTCAAGGAACGTGCCAGACTACAAAATGAAGGTCCATTAGTATACAATTCAGAATGGGTTAAAGCATGTAAAAAAGACACGTCACGCTGTTGAAAAACATTTGAAATAGAATGTACAGGAACATGGTTTTCCTTTTTTTAAGGAAAGAAAAAAGCGAATAAGACGCGTGGTGGGGATATAGGTACATCCTTCTATTGCACCGCCATTTCCTCTTCCAGATTCAATTGCATGTAAGCATCTGAAAATGGCGTTTGGGATTCGGAAGAAGTTGAATTAGGGTTTTCAGTTTCTTTCACGCGTTAACATATGCTTATCGAAGTATCAACGCACAGCGCATCAGGTTTTCCGCTCATCCCCACTCAGTTATCGGATATCAGTAAGTAATTCATACGTTCGATTTTATATGTCTTGTCTTCGTATCTGGTTATGTCCAAAACGTTGAAGGAGATGCTCGTTGGTAGCGCCGTCGTATATGGAAACCTTGATTGCTTAGCTTGAGATCAGTACTCACTCACCTAATACGAGTTTTGGTGAATCATAATATCAAATTTGTTTTTATTGCATGTTTTGATGTGGTTATACTTTCTGAGTTCTCTTAATTTGAAGTTGAGAGAACCATGGTTATTGTTTCTAGATGTCCTGAATTGTGGTTTGCTTCAGGATCAGGTAATTCTTATTTTGAGTTATACTAGATTTTATTTGGACATTTACAGACACGCAACTATCATATCTTATATGTAGTGTCCTAATATTTGGAAAATAGCAATTACAATAGCCTCAGTTATATGCCAAGAGCATAATTAAGAAGTCCCAAAATGATTAATAATCTACCTAGTCAACTAAAATACAACTAGAAATATCAAAAGGGTGCTATTAAATTCTCAACACACAAAAGATATGTCTCTACTTGCCTGATAAAATACATGCCCAAAAGAAACAAGTGTTAAACTTAAAGCCTAGAAAGAAGAAGATATCATTATACTTACCTAAGCAATGTAAATCATATCTAATATAATTAAGTAAACCACAATGTAAATATACCTCTCTAAAGCGATGGACTGAAATCAAATGTAAGATTTAGGCTTTGGGTCTAAACCAAGTTGTAGATTTTAATTTCCATCATGTAGATTCTAGATAGAGTTGGGTAAAGAGTCATTGCTAATGTTTTTAATGATGTAAAAGGAAGGAGGGTTTGTCACGGGTGGCGTACTTTTTGAGCTTCCATCACGTGCTTTAATTTGTGTACTTCACTAGTTGATGTCGGTGGTTTCCTTCACTTGTTTACAACGAAGCCCTTGAGGTTGAAATATGTAAGGGTTAAGCTCTCATAGATTTTGAGAACATGTTTTGTACAATTGGAATTATTTTCTTAGTGTGTGTTCTATGAAATGCTCATGAAACTGTTCCAATATCTATATTATGTAAATTGATTAACGCGTTAGTTGTTTAGCTTACGGTTTCCCGGGATTTGAAAGAAGGATGTTCTAGTGTGAAGGGCAAGTGTTTAACCTAGGTCAAGGTGATCAAAGGCAGACCGGAGATAACAATGAATATTAGAATGATGAACAATGTTAGTGATCAGTGGCGGATCCAGAACCAATAATTAAAGAAGTTCACTTTGTATAAAAATTTAATTAATTAATAAATCTTAATTTTCTAGGGTATTTTATTTTTAAGTTAAGTGGGTGCCAAAAATCTTTAGTGGTGTCCAAACATACATCTTTTCAAAAAGAAAAAAAGAAAAACTTGTTTGTCTATAATAGAAGGTGGCACATACTTGTAAGTGGGTGTCATGCACCCCACTAGAATGGACTGTATCCGCCACTGATAGTGATTAAAACTCGATATGATCAGAATAGATGTAATTCTAGTTTGTAATAAATCTAATTAATGATTTGGAATTATTGTAATAAATGGTGGTATGGTATCTTGATGAATGTAATATTGGTAATTGAGGTATTTAACTAGCTATCTCTGTCAAATTCAGGGTGTTACACTTGCACAAAGGCAACCCCCTTCAATCTAGTAAATTGAATACTAGAGTTTATGTTAACAAAATATATGTCAAGCTTGTTCTCAAGAACAAGTCAAAAATTTAATGTGTAGAAATCAGTGATTTGTATATAACATAAAGCAATTAAAAAAAATCTGAAGTCAATTCGTAATAAAAATCGAACAAACATCAAACAAAATGGGGCCGTCTATGTTCTCTTCGTTTCGATATAAAATTTGGAATCGTGTTTGTGTCTTCTTTGATTCGATTTCTGTCTATGTGATTTGTCTAAGATTTTCACTTTGGTCTTCTTTTTTATTTTTCATTCTTTACAGGAGCATAATGACTGAAAACTCTTTGTATTTTTCATGTAGTTACAAAATTAACATTATGCAAAAAATATAAATAAAAATAAATCCAGTAACATGAAGCATGGGCCTGTCACTTATCTAGTTCATGTGGTACTTTTTCTCAAGGAGACAAGACAATGATTAGGTTGTTACTTGGTACTTGGTAGATCCTACTGGGATTGTCCTAGGAATGAAGACTTAGCCGTCTTTGGCCCATATTCGACCCACTAGCCCATTATGCTTTATGTCTCGTTTTCTTCATCTTCAAGGCAAGGCTTTAAGAACAATATTTGTATGAGAGGATATTTGAGGCATGATTTATTGGTATGCACGTGCATTACTCAAAACAATATTTGTAGTCTTGTTTAATTAAAAAAAAATCTTGTTTCTAGTCCTTTTTTTTTCCTAATTAGAGTGGATGGATATACTGTTTTTTTTTAATTATTTATTTTTTTATTTTTAACACACTGAATCTGCCATTCTTTTCAAGTGCCAGTTTTATAAGTGACTTTCCATATATTTTTTATAGTGTGGAATTATTTGAGATGAGATATTTCTTTGCATATATATATTTTTTGTTTTACTTCCTAAACATTGCATATTGTTTTGGGAGGTCTACATAAGGATGGGCCCATTGGGTCCAAAACTAGGTGATTCTAATGTTCCTTGACCAATCCTTAGATTTTGTGTTTTTATTCTTAATATATTACTTAACTTTTTGTTCAATTTGAAGCTTACTCTTGTGGTCTAATAAACAGTGTTGGCAAGTAAAACTTTCCCATGGTTTGCATTAACAATTGATTTATATCTGTTTTGATAGTTTTGTTTGTTTTGGAAGCAACAATTCATCACCAAATGGGTTAGCTTATCAATTATTCTGCAGATGTATTCCTATTGCTTATGTTTTCCAATTGGCTCCACAGCAAGGCATGTATGTTGTAACAATGTCCTTTTTTTTTAAACATTCCAGCTAACTTGGCACCAGATCAATTTGGGTTATAACAAGTAAATGCAAGAAATAGCAACATACCTCCATTTATTGTACATTATAGCATCCTACTTCTATTTCTCCTGATTAACAGCATTGCACTTCCAAAAAAAAGTATCAAGGCATTGTATTTTCAAATTTCTACCCAATTATAGCATATTGTATTTTCAATTTTTTCTTATTCGGACGACATATTTTGAAATTCCTAACCAAAATTTAACAGTAAAAAGTGACATGAATGTATGTTGCTACTTCTTGCATTTGGTAGTAAATCAATCTAGGTTATAACAAAATACTAAACCCAGAAAAGGAAAAAAGGGTAGAATGCAAGAAATATCAAACCTATGTCCTTTTATTTGTGTATTGTATTATCCTACATTCCTTTCTCCCAACTACATCATTGTACTTCAAAAATCATGCTCAGTATAGGATTTTAGTTTGAAAAGTGTAGAATGTTGTAGTAGGATGAAATGAAAGTAGGTTGCTATTGCTTGCATTTAAGTTTAACCCACAGAATGAAACCGCAATATGTGTTGGGATTCATCCTCCCTTTGTTCATGTCCAGCTTCTTGTCTTTTAAAAACTATCCAGAAATTTCGCTGCTGCTGCTGCTGCTTAATTCATGTAAGGAGACTGTTATATTTTGTACATCTAGTTGCAGTAAATTCTACGAGAAGAGAGCACTTTAATCCTAGTATTCATCAGATTTTATTTATCTACTCTACAAAATAATCAACATGTCACTGTATTTATAATAGGGAAAAAGTCAGAAAAACCCCAACAAACTATACTATTGTCCCAGATTAGTCAGGAAACCTTTTTTTTTTTTTTTTTTGTCCCAGTTAGGTCTGATGGCTGTATCAGAGTCGATTTTTTGTGTTCCATTTTGGCAAAAAGCATTTGCACAGCTAAAATCCTTTTAGCCATATTTACATCTTTTTTCTTTAGGTGTACAATTTTTTTTTCAAATAAGGACCTAATTGGAACAAAAAAAGTTGTGACTAATCTGAAGCACTGGGCATAGTTTGTTGGAGTTTTTCAATGTTTACCCTTTATAATAATATATATGTGATGAGGTAATATGAGACAGGTTTTAGCAACAAGTGATGGATGGAAGATGGTATGTTATATGGTTCATACAAACAAGCACATATACTCGCATACACTGGAAACTCATTACACAGTATAGAGGGGTAAAATTTACAAGGCTGTTTGCTGTTTAACTTCAGTTTTAAGGTAGTTGTGTGGGTGGGGGACGAAAACAGAAATACAAAGAGGAATAAAGAGTTCACTGCATTATTAGCCACAGCAAAGATAGAGGGTGACAACCATCACTGCTTGAAAAACAATTCAACTTTCTCCTTCATAGTATATATATATTATATAATATATATAACACATCGCAAAATGATGGAGAGATATTTTGCCTTTTCAAAAACAACCAACCATCACCAGGTGACCTGAAAGTCTGTATACGGAGGTGTTGCTGCTGCAGCAGCATCACCAGAATCCTCATTCATCTCATTCTCATTCATCCTTGCTGCCTCAATCTGTAGCCACTCAAAACAGAAACAAACATTTCAACAATGGATAGGATAGGAAAAGAAAAGGAAAATTTATTTTGTTACTTTTATTCGGTATGGTTATTGGTTTTACCTCCTTCATTATAATGCTGTTCTCTCTCTTCAGCTGTGTTTCCTGCAAGTACAAAGGACACACCATTAGTTAGTGGCTTTCAGTTCAACAAGCAGAAAAAGCCTCAAGGGATGGAATACCTTCTCCTGCAGGCCTTTGACAACCCCCATCATTAGCTGTGTCTGCAATAAGCCATATGCAAGTCAACACATTTTTATATACACACACACATATCATATGTGCTAAAAAGAAATCTCTTTATTTTTTTTCAACTCATCAACTGGTAAGGTAAGTAAGCTAACCTTCCTGATTCTGACTAGTCGGAGAAAGTTATTCAAATGTCGTTCCAGCTGATTGAAACCAGCTATATCTAGATGCTTGATGTTGTTCTCTTCCAGATGGCTGCATACATACCATTGAAAACCAATAAACTCAAGTCACAGTAGTAGAAAGAGTATGTGGTTTGGTTTGGGGTAAAAACTTAAGTATGATTACCGTTGGACTATATGTGTCAGCTCATCAACAGTACACGCATCCCCATATTCTGAAGCAAGCTTCTGCAGTAGTAACAAGTTTCACAAAAGATGGAATATAAGATTCACTGTCATATCAAGCTAACCAGAAAAAAAATATATCTGATGCTGGATATGCATACCTCTTGTAGGGTCATGCGGGTAATTTCTTCCGTCTTCTTGTAGCTTTGATAGCTGCTCAGAATCTTAGCCATGCTGTGTTACAACAAAACAAAATCAAGCCCTAACTCACTGGTAAAAACATGAAAATCAAGGCAGCATAAATTTGTATGGAAAACACACTCTTCCTTGAATAAGCCTTGTTTGATTGTAGTATTTCCTAGTCCCTACCCAAGTAAAATTAGTTATTAATATACTCTTCCTTTGAGACATTGGTATGTATGTCAGAGCTGCACCTCCAACATCTGTTAATTTTGTGTATGTATGAACCTATTAACTGGTTAGATGACTTTTTGGGTTGATGATAACAGCTGACAGGAGTAAAAATAGTATTTTAAGTTGGTAGGAGTAAGAGTAGTGAATGTTTAACGAAAGCATAGTAATTAGCAAATAACAAACCAGATAAACTAATGCATAACCAACCAAATAATTAAATTACCAAAATGTCCTCAGATCATATAGCTAAAATTAATGAGCCTGCATTTCCTGTTTTACCCTTTCTCTTGTATGTAAACTTTAAGCCTCACTTAGTGATACCCCCCACCCCCCTCCTCTACTAGAACCACCTTGTCAACTCTCCATGTGGCCTCTTTATTGCGTCCTCAGCCTTCCATGCATTTGATGACATATGCTCCAAGTAACATCTCACCATCTTCATGGGATCATTAAAACTAACCTCCATCAATTTCTCATATTTTGCTATCGCAACATTATGACAAAACTCATGACCATCACTAGATAACAACCTTTTCAAACACCCCCTTTCGTCAGTATTTTCATCAAGCAACTTCAACGGATACGCAAGTGCGCTTTAAATAATTTTAGCTCCCACCCTCATCCTTTCCATGGAGGCAAATCTTTGCCTGTTAGGTAAGAGGACAGCAAGTTACAAACTCTGTCTCTGTCTCGGTAGGACATGGATCTTTTGCTCCTCCTTGTTAAGAGTGTCTTTAATGAGGTCAACTATAGCAACAAGGCACAATAAAGCACACTTGAATAACTGTCATCTTAACAAGGTTTTTGCTTGAGCAATCGGTTTCTTAACCCGTCCATGTGAGCTTCCACTACCAATGATGGTGGTTATATCTATAATCAATACCACTTTAGTCACGAGTCCTAAGACTTTAGTTCCAGCATTCTCAAGGGTTAACCCTCCTATATCCCTCCTCACATTACAATTCCTCTGTAGAATATCAGTAATATCATCAAGATATCAACTTTTTTGTTCCATTGTATCCTTAATAGATTGATGGGGCATGTGATCAATTCCTCGCATTATATTTCCTCTGGCATAAAATCTTTAAGATCGAGGGTTGTAGCTATTTGAACCATATGGCCACTATTAGTAATGCCTTTATCTTGACCTTGATTTTGTGATCCATCTGCATCATCTTACGAGCAGTAGGGTGAAACACAAGATGATCCAACAAAGCACTTCCGAAAGGTAGCCACACATCCGCATTTGTCCATAAGAGTGTGGTTACCTAAATGTTGCTCGAATGCTAAGGAAAGCAATTGTTGCTCTTGCAACTCTCGTTTTGTTGTTGTTTACACAACAATTGTTCGTCTTATATTGATAGTTGTGGTGGTAAACTCAACAATTGAGGTTCTTGAGTGAACCTAGGAACAAACAACTTTTTAGGAACCCAATGGACCTGAGGATTTATCAAAAACTTGACCATGTAAATTTGTCATCTTAGGTTGATTTTGTAGTGGTAATTTTTGATGAACTCTAAGGATGCTTGAAGAGGGTCTACATGCCTACTGTGAACTAGGAAGTTTGACTAATTTGTAACATTCTTTTGACTATAGATAAACCACAGAGTATGGATATAAACTTAGAATTTGGAACACATAATTGTGGAATAATGAGATCTTGAAGAGAATCATATTTAGGGACAATAAAAGTGACATCCCTTCTTGACCAAAGAGAGAATAAGGATTACACATCGATCTTTGCCTTTCTAGTTGTATCATTTTGGCCAATGGATACAAGTTACCCCCATTATTAGAAGGAACTAATGATGCAGAGTTCCTAAAATGCCTCTACATACCTTTAGAAATACCAAAGAACCACCACCCAAGTTATTAGAAATTAGTGAGTTAGTAATCTTATTCCTAACCTTCATAGCCCACCGCAGATGTAGCATACCATCTCCAAATAGAATACATGGCGAGTCTTGAGATGCATTTGCAAGACGTACTAACATTTCTACCCCTAAGTATCCACCCTCAAACCAACCAATGTCACTTGTAAAAGGACTTGAGGATCCTATACAAGAGAACCATGGATGTTAGTACAAGTATTTGTGGTTCTCTTTCTAAATGTTCATTTAGTTGCATTTTAATAACAAGATTATTGCCATTCTGCCATTTAGACCTATCTTTGGAGCAAATCTGGTAATCCTTGTTGCCAACCCCACCTTTTTGTAGAAGATGGGGGTTCCCACTGGAAGATATGCCATCTCTTCTAGAACCTAAAATTTGATAATCATATTTAGCATGGAAATCGAATTTTAATCCAGAAGTCAAGTCCAACAGTTGATACGTTGGACTGTGGGATTTTCTTGTCAACAAGCATTTCAAGCGCAAAAAGTAATTATTGTCGCCTAAAGAGTGATTACCTATAGGTAGCCAACAAATAAACCGTCGGTGGTTGGATGGAAAACCTACCCTTTCATCTATATATTTGGGTTTGAATCGAACATCAACTAGGGTGATGCATTTGTGAAAAGTTGTGAAATTATTGTCGGCAGTGGGCCTTCCTTTGTTACTGTTGATTCAATAATGTTAGGCTTTGATTTCTCCATTTTAATTACCAAGTCCAGCACAACGCTTGGTCTGGATTTCGCGAGACAAATTTTTTTCTCAGTAATATCTTTACAAAGCCTGTTTATGTAACGACCTGCCTCTTTTGAATTTGATGCCTCTTTGAGTCGAGTTGGCATCTCAACAAGACTTTGTAACTTGGTTATCGCTCCGACCCAGCTCTGCATGGCTTATATATTGCTTCGACTTTTTAAGATTTATCCGCTAGCAAAATACTCATTTCTTTGTTTGAAGGGGGCATGTTTAGCATCTTATTCCATCCTTCTGGTCCGCAGGGTTGATTCTGTTGTTCCTCTGCCCCATCATTGAAATCCCGACAATAGTGGTGGTGGTGGCGGCGACAAAGGCAACATCAATGGTGGTTTGTAGTTGTTGCCTTCGCATTCCCCGTTTAAAATAATGGAATGGATCCTCTTTCGAGGAACAATGAAACTTCTTGTTCTACTACCTCTACCCTTTGAGCCAAAGTTCATAGGGTCACTACTCTTACACCAATTGCTATGACTTGTATGAAATTGGAATTAAATCAACATTAAACCTAGAAAAGAAGACAAGTGGTTTTTTTATGGAAATTGATGGAAAATGATTAAGATAGAAGCTGGCAATTCAAGAAGCTAGAAGTCTCCTAATAGGATCACAAATCTGTTCTAACAGAAAAGATGCCTATCATCTCGAAGATTCTCTAAGGTATTATAATGTAAGTGTGACATATCACGAGGGTGTGGTTTATCTAGATTCACGAAGTAGGCAAGTAAGCAAGGTAGCAAGAGAAGAGTATCCGTATATATACATAGCAATAATGGTTGAATTAATCGTCTTACAAAGTATTTGAATTTCTTTGTGGTTCGGGTCTCGTGCCTTTTATTCCAATGTATTATGATAATTAAGCTACGTTATCTAAGGTATATACAACAACTAATCCCAATCCCAATACAAAGATGTAGGTAAAGTTGTCACTTCATCTAGGGTGGAGAGTAGAATGGTATATTTGAGATGTAGAAAGTTGTACCTTCATCCAAGGTAGAGAAATTGCATCCATAAATAGACTTATGTCACATAGAACGTAAGCCTACAATGGTGAAAGTAAATACTAGCAGTAGAGAAGCAAAAAATGGAGATGAGACATTAAAACGGAAAGCAAAAACTAGCACTAACGATGAATGAAAAGAGGGGACAAGAGTAAGAGGGTAAATATTACACAAAAACCACAAACCAGTAAGAAGAAACAAGAACCCACACTAGTCTTGCACTATTTTACCACCATGGTTCTAAACTTCAACGTCATCCTATATAATGTTATGTCAGCTATAAACCAATTATTTCATGTATAACCTTACATTATTTTCCCACTTTCTTTGGCCACCCTCTTTTTGCATCATCAATTTTGTCTTTACCCTATCGATCGCATAATGTTATGTCAGCTATAAACCAACCTCTAATAATGTTCTTAACACATATCGATCGCAACATCCCTCATTTTCACGAATTTGATCTTCATTTCATGATCCTCCAATCAGCCAATATTCTGATCCATACAACAAAATTCGCCCAAGTTCTTTAAAAATTACCCCTTTACTTAGAGCCGGGTGTTGTTGTGCTGAATTATGGTGACCACACTCTAACATCCTGCCTTAATGTGGTTGGTAATATCCTCTTCAACACCCCTTTTCTTATGGATCGTAGACCCAAAGTACTTGAAGCTCTCCTTTGGGTGTAGAACTTGCTACCGATATAAACTCTCTTTCATAATTTCGCTCCCATTGAAATTACACTATAGATATTTCGTCTTAACTATGTTGACTTTGTAACCCTTTTTCATCCAAATTCACCCTCTGGGTTAGCTATGTCTTTAATGTTTCTCACATTCAATGTGGCATATGTTCTCACAATGCCATATTCAAAAGCTAATCGAAAAAAAAAAACCACTTGTAACAACCCGTGAAGGCCTTGAGGCTAAACTCAGTGCTATGTTAGATCTATTATTCAATGTTGACTAAAAAATCAAGAAAGGCTAAAGAACTATACACTCTAGTAGAAGTACTTTACTATAGATGCTACAAGGAGTTTATCATTCTAATATTTAATTCCTACAAATTGATCAATTCTAGGGTTGTAAACGAACCAAACGAACACGAACAAGGTCTTGTTCATGTTCGTTCGTTTAAGTTAGTCGAACAACAAACAAACACGAACGGATAAACGAAAG